CGCCTCACCCGTGGTCCGGCCTGGCGGCAGCTGGGGCTCGGGGCCGGCGGTAAACAGCCCCTCGGAGGGCAGCGCTTCCGCGATGGGCTGCCTGCTCGTGCGGGCACGTGGGGTCCGGCTGGTGTGCAGTGGGGGACTCCCCACAGCGAGCGGCTTCTTGCCAGCAGCTGCCAGCGGTGTAGGTTTAGGTCATGTTACATTATTTAATTAATGAGAGAAAGTGGTTGTGGTTTTGTTTTTTCAAGATTTATGCACACAGAACTGGGGCACAGGCCAGCGGTGCAGGGTGGTGAGTCTTCACCAAAGACAGCGGGGAGCGGAACAGGCCGACGGTCGAAGTCCGCTGCTGAGGGGGCAGCGGGGGGTCAGGAGCGGTCTGCCGCGCCCTGGGGTCACCTCCGGGGCGGGCGGGGCGGGCGGGGGTCGAGCTCCTGCGGTGGCTTCAGCTTTAGTGCTGCGCTCTCACCCGCTGCGCCGCGGGGGCCGAGAAAGTGCTCTTTTTAATGCAATCTAGCGAGCTGCTTTTCCTCGCCTCCCCCCCATTTTCTGGGGATTACTTTTATGAGTTATTTAAGGATATATAAGGTTTCTTATAGACATTCTCATAAAGTGTCAAATCAGGTTCTAAAGCTTTAGCACAGTATTTGATTAGGAGGATGGACCTAATTGGGAGTCGTAGCATGAGTTGCTTCTGTTGTTTACCCGAGTTAGCTACTCTTCCGAAGCCTTCTCTTCCTGTGACTGACTCAGTTCCATCTTTTATCTTCTCTCTGTTGCTCTCTTGCTCCTCATCCAGAAGGTGAGTGAGCCTGCGTTTGGGGGTGGTTTTCCCTCCAGCCCTCGTGATGAGCATTTGGTGGCTTTTTGAAATGTGAAAGAACAGTGTCGTGTTTTAATAGTTTTCCTCAGATGGGTGTGTGACGTGTGACCCGGGTACGGAAACTAAATGCTTCATTTTTGTTCCACATGTATGTTTTAGGTCTGCCAGCACCCAAACTCTCGAATGAGAGAGTGGGGAGCAGAAGCTTTAACCTCGCTTATTAAAGCAGGACTAACGTTTAGCCACGACCCTCCACTTTCACAAAACCAGGTAAGAGACCCTGAGTTAAGTTAATGAGCCGCGTGGAGTTGGTTTCCCGTCCTAGAAGGTTCCTCCTCGTCTGGGGCCACTCGGCAGCGGCCTCCGCTTTAGCCTTTTCCTGCTGCTGTTTTTCGCTCACCGCCACCACGGGAGAGAAGCCAGGTGGCGATAGAGACTGGCCCAGGAGATCTTTGTTTTTCAGTAATTGTAGCTGTTAGCTCATACTGAAGAGTTCACCTGTGCCATGAATCCTGCGTCTTGACCCCACGATCACCCACGTCCCTCTCACCTAGTGTTGAAACATCCGCTGAAGTTCTGTGGTTTCAAGATTAAGTAGGAAGAAGCATGAACGGCCTTTCCCATTGCCTTTATTATCGTACTGAGCTGCAGCTCCGCGAGTTTCCTCAGCAGATGACTGCTGGGTACGCTACGTCCTGGCTCTTGGAAAGACATGATGGATTTTAAGCAGGCAGACAGAAGAGCGCGTGTACTCAGCAGAGTTGGCATCCTCGTGATCTCATACCTGTTTCCTTCTGTCATTTTTAAGTTCTTTAAAAGAAAACCCTGTCCGTGTCCTCGCTGTTCACCTTAATATGTGGTCCACACTGGGAGCTTAGTGTTTGTCCAGTCAATGAAACAGATACATCGCTGGAGAGACCAAGTTTTAAAATGAAGCAGGTTCTTCCAGGTGCTAAAAGAAATAAAGTAGAGGTGGCTTTTCTTCCTCCCTCCCTCCCCTCTCCCCCTCTCCCTCTTACCCTTCCTCCCTACCTACCTCCCTCCTCCCTCCCCCCACATGGTTTTTATCATCTTTGTTCATTGGTAGACATTATAATTAAAAAAATATTTTGGAGCCTTCTTGGAAATGCAAGCGAACTAAAAGTATCAAGGATTTTATATTGAAACACATGCACCTCACATTAGGAGAGCAAATGACAGGTGATCGCAGAAACTGAGAATTGTTTTCCTCTCTCCAGACGTAGCTAGTATGTGTAGATGTATTTCTCAGTGAGGTTCAGCTCTGTGGGGGTCTGTAACTAATACCGCTCTTCATTTATCCTGACATCTAACTTCTTGGAGACTGTTTTTAATTTTCCCTTAAAAGGCCGTATGCATGACAGTAAACTTCTAATGACTACTGTCGAAGCAAGCTCATTTAGCATTTATTGAGAAAACATTCTGTCTGCGTGCAGCCTGAGTAGAGGAGAAGTCAGTCGTGCGGCAACGGCAAGCCCCGCCCTCCGCCGCGTCTCTTCCTGTGCTGCTCTTTCCCTCTCCAGAGGCTGCAGTTGCTTTTATTGAACCCGCTGAAGGAGATGTCCAGCGCCGGCCACCCGGATATCCGCCTCAAGCAGCTGGAGTGTGTGCTGCAGATTCTGCAGAGTCAGGGGGACAGCCTCGGGCCCGGGTGGCCACTGGTGCTTGGAGTCCTCGGGGCCATCAGGGACGACCAGGGGTAGGTGCTTCCCGTGAGCTCGCGGGCCGCGGGGAGGTGAGGGGAACCGCCCTGGGTCCTGCGGTGGTGACGACGTGTTGGACGCGCCCTTTCTGCCCACGCCCGAGACCCGTCCTGGTCTCTGGGACCGTCCCCTCGCCCCCCGGGTGAGCTGGACTGGACGGCTGGAGCCCACTTGTGATTTGGAAGAATAGAAACATTGCTACTTATTTGCCATCTGTGCAAGAGTACAGAGGGCTGCGCAGGAAGTGCCAGTCTAACAGTGTCGTGGCGCACGCAGATGTCGATCTTCATGTCGTTGAAGCAGGCTTCTGTCGCGTGGGAACCAGCGCCCGGGAGCCGCCTTTGTGCGCGCGCGAGTCACTCAGAGCCAGCTCTTGTGCCCGTGTCCCAGACACCGTGCTGGTCGTCACTCCGGTTCCCAAGTGCGGCCTGCTGGCAGAGCGGGCCCGGGGCAGGGACCCGAGTGGGGCGGGGCCCCTGCCGATGCCGGGTGGAGGGTGACGCGAGGGCGCGCCGAGGCTGGTCGCGGTGTGGCTGGGGACTTGGGAAAGAGCCGGGAGTGAGCCCGGCAAGCCGCCGGGTGCGCGGCGCTTCCGTAGGCCGGGGCCGCGCAGACTGGGGCGGGCCAGCCCGGCACGGAGGAGGCCGGTGCAGAGCCGTGCCTCCGGGCGCCCGGCCTCATTCTGCAGCGGCCGAACCTGCCGTCCCGACGCCTGCCCGCGCTGTGCGGTGTGGCTTGAGGTCTGAGGGTTCGTGGGAGAAAGCAGCTTGCATAATGTGTAGTAGTGAATGTGTCTTACGCAGTACAAAATGCGGAGGTGACTAAAGTGGAGAGGTGGCCGTGAGCGAGGCCGAGCCGAAGGTCCTTCCGGGGGGCTGCAGGGCTGCGGTCCGGCAGGACAGTGTTGCGAGGACAAACTGCCGTGCACACACAGAGAACATAGGGCTGACACTCGCCCAGGACGTTACGCTGCGCGAGTTCATTTTCGTTGTTTTTCACCACCAACATGTCTCCAACACAGATGTCAGTCGCTTCGCTTGAAGTTCAGAATAGTAATTTTTACAGATTTTATTTTGTCTTTTTTTTTTTAACCTCTTATAATTTGGGGATTGAATTTTCACCCCTCCATGTGCACACAGACCTCACGCCCCTCACCCAGCTGCCCGCGCCCCGCCCTCCGCCTCCTCCAGGCCCCTGGGGAGCTCTCTCTGGGTCTGACAGTCTGCGCTAAGCCTCAGGTCTCCCTTGGCCGTCTTTCGCCGTCATTTTGGTTATTTGTATTGCAGAGATCAGCTGAAATCTGGTCTCTGTCTTTCGCTTTCTGCCTGCTTCCCTGAAGAGAGTCCCTTCACGGTCCAGCCGTTGCGTCGCCGAGGCTCCGCGAGAGCCTGCAGTCGGGCCCGGCGGAGGGGCCGCGGCCTCGCGGCGCCCAGCCCGTGCTCGCGCTGGACAGCGGGCTCCTGTGCCGCCTGCGAGTCGGCTTGTCCAGTGGGTGCAGGACACAGCTAGCAGCAACAGGATGCCAACGTTTTTTCCTTTTTCTAGTCTCCTGCTTTTATTTTACATATCCTGAGAGTATTTTCAGTTCTTTAAAGATCTTTGTCATGCATGTGTGGAAGTAGAGGTGTCGTCTGCTTGATGCCGGCGAGGTTTCTCGCGCACACTGGATAAGGTTCTGCTTAGCGCGGGCCGTCGGGGCATGTGCGCGTTCACCCGCGTCTTGAACTCAGGGGTGCGAATGTCTCTTTCAGGGAATCCCTGATCCGAACCGCCTTCCAGTGTCTCCAGCTGGTGGTCACAGACTTCCTGCCGACCATGCCCTGCTCCTGCCTCCAGATAGTGGTGGGCGTTGCTGGCGCCTTCGGCCTTCACAGCCAGGAGCTCAACATCAGCCTGACTTCCATCGGCTTGCTGGTGAGCTGTGCGCCTGTCCGTGCCCGGGGCGTGACGCTCGCCAGCATAGCCGCGGTGGCTTCCGAGTTGTACACAAGTGACGGACTTGCCTGCGTGGAGGATTGAGTGACAGCACGGAGGGGCGGTCCCTGGCACAGCGCTTGGGGTGACTTTGGCGTTTAGGTGGAGCTTTGGCTTTTGACACGTTTGTTGGGGAAGAACGTAGCGAGCAGGTGATAGTGCATCCGGGGGACATACTCAGCCGGCCCGAGCGTGGCGGTTCCTCGAGGCCGGTGGCTGGCGCCTCGGCGGCGACACCTCATGGACGACGTTTCGAGAGTGAGCCTCACGCGGCTCGCCAGCTCTGTGCTGTGAGCGGCCGAGGGCGGGCCCCGCTGGGAAGGCCCACAGGCATCTGCACCCGTGTGCGGGGCCTCGAGCTGCTCGCCTCGAGCAGAGTAGTGAGCGCTCTCCTTAGACTGTTGCCCCTGCTGCTTGAAGCACATGGAAACAGTTGTTCCCATTCTGCCTTTCAAGGCGGTTATTTGGACTTGTAAATGTGTACTTTAACTAAAAGGTTTTAAAGTCAAATTGAAGTTTTTCGCATAAGGAGACAAACGAAGAGGTCATTACCGAGGCGGAACTGTGGGCAGAAGCGTGAGCACGCTGCGTCTGCGGCGGCCCCCGCGGCCCTCGCGCTCCTGAGGCTCGGAGCGCCGCTGGTCGCACCTCCTCGGTCCGCGGGGTGCTGTGGCCGCGGGAGCCGCCCGCTCACGCTGGCCCGGTGCCGGTGCCGGTGCCGGTGCCTGTGCCTGCAGTGACGCCGCAGCAGCTCGCAGGCGCTCACTGCTCTTTCCCCGCGAACTACGCAGTGGCGCGTGATGCTGCGGGAGTTGGTGCCGTGAGGGTGGCGTCTTGCTTACTTGCTTAACGCCCTGTCCGGCAGGGATATAAGATTGAAACCCGAAGCTCATCAGAGCATGTTGGCGGTGGGTGCAGGTGGGTGGACGCTTTGTGCCTCTGTGGACTGATTTCCTAAGGTGTGACTTACCTTTCCGCCCTTCGGATTCTTCATAGAGTTCTCTCAGGAGCATGTTAGCCGAAGGGCGCCCCGTATTCTCCGAGCAGAGACCCACAGTTTCCGGGGCGAGCGGCCTGCGCCCTTGGGCCCCCAGAAAGGGTTCTGAACTGTTTACTGCCAGGGGCGGAGCGGCCTTTCGTTGCGTCCCGGGTTAGATGTCTAAAATCTGTGAGTAAGTGTTATTTTCTGCTTTTGCCATTTAGTGGAACATCTCAGATTACTTTTTCCAAAGAGGGGAGACGATTGAGAAGGAGCTGGACAGGGAAGAGGCGGCGCGGCGCAAGCAGGCGGAGGAGGAGGGCGCGGCCGAGCCCGCCCCGCCCGCGCCGCCCTTCGACTGCCTGTGGCTGTGCCTGTACGCGCGGCTGGGCGAGCTCTGCGTGGACCCGCGGCCGGCCGTGAGGAAGAGCGCGGGCCAGACCCTCTTCTCCACCATCGGCGCCCACGGCACGCTGCTGCAGCACCCCACGTGGCGCACGGTCGTCTGGGAGGTAGGCGGCGGCCGCTGCGGTTTTCACGCAGCACGGGAGGTGTGAAGCCGGCGCCTCGCGGTAGAGCCGGGAGCGCCGGTCCTGGGTGCCGAGTGGGAGGCGCCAGATGAGCGTGTGGGGCGCGCCTGGGTGGCAGCGTGGCCGCAGGCTGCCGCCGCCTCTCCCGGACACGTCGTCTGTGCGCAGGGCGCGCGGCCTCGCTTCCGGTTTGCCCCGTTGCCTTCGTCTACCCGGCTGGCAGGAGCTACCAGGCTGCCAGCGTGTGCCGTCTGGCGGACGGGCGCTCCCTTTCCGCTCCCTCTGCTCCATTTGGCTGAAACCCTGCTGTGAGCCTTTGCCTTGCTTTTGTGGAGCTTGAGGTCAGCGTGACCGTCAAGGTGAAGCAGAGTGAGCCGTAGTTGTGTTGACGTTTTTCCAATTCAGTGAAAACAAGCGCACGGTGTCTTCTCTAACAAAGGCAAATATTCCCGCATGCAAGCCCGTGAAACCCGCCCCGTCTGTGTGGCCCTCAGCTGCTCCCGGCTCCTCCTCAGAGCCGGACATGCAGAAGCCTCCTTCGCTGACGAAGCAGCCCTCACCTTCCCGGTTGCGCGGTCTCCTCCCAGACGGCGGGTTCACCCGGGCGCCCACTTCTCAGCAGTGCCCCCCCACCTCCCCGCAGCCCCTCACCCGTGGCAGCCTGGTTGCTGGGTTCTGCGTCAGTCTGGTAAAGCTTTGCGGCGGCAGAATCCCACGGACGCCCCCAGCGCAGACTGCAGACCGCGGCCGTGCCCGTGTCTGCCCCGCTGGTGGCCCGAGAAGCCGAGTGCTCGCCAGCTCCTGGCGACGCGCGCGCTGCGGCCCCGAGGCCGTGCTCTGGGCCGCACAGGCTGTGCTCGCTCTCCCTGCGGTCTCGTGGCAGCTTCCGTCCTTAGCCCACTTGCCTTTTAGGTCACGGCGAACTGTTGACTGTTCCCTCCTTGTAGTTTCTCTTCCCTCGACTCCAAAGCATGCTTCTGTTTTTCTGTTCAGCTTTTATTTATTTTTGCTCCCACTCGTGCTCCTGAGCCTGGCCTTGAAGGGTGAACCCCCAAGTCCCAGCTGCTCCCCGCTTGACTTCTGGCAAGCGTCCCACCTGAGGCCTCCGCTGTAACCTCTGTCCAGAGGGCTCCTACAGTCACATCTCTTGCCTTTATCTCTTGCGCTTTATCCTACAGCTCTTCCAGAGCTTAGATGCAGTCTGTCCGGTGTATTTAGTTTTAGATATCCCTGCTCCTGAGGACAAGCTCAAGGGTTTAAGAGTACCTCGGTTGTTTAGTTTCTTTTAATCTGTGGGGGTGGGTTGGGCTGTCTGGTAAAATCTTTCGCCCCTAAATCTATGCTGTTATTAACATATGTCACCACTACCTTTTGCATGCCCTGTTATAAATATTCAGGTTCTCTTTCACCTGCTCGACCGAGTTCGAGAGTCTTCTACTACTGCAGACAAAGAAAAGATTGAGTCTGGAGGTGGCAATATTCTCATTCATCACTCACGGGACACCGCAGAGAAACAGTGGGCTGAGACGTGGGTTTTGGCGTTGGCTGGAGTAGCAAGAATCTTCAACACTAGAAGATATTTACTGCAGCCTTTGGGTACACATACTTGACAAGTTATTCATGCAGTATGACGGGGAAAATAGAGAAGGGTCATTTGAAAGTCCTAGGGAGAGCTTTGTCTGTTCCTTTGCTTTATTTCTCTGTGTGTGTGTGTGGATGAGGTGGCCATCTGCTGTTTGTCTTGGGGTTTTGTTTTGAAGACCAGAGCACTGTCTGCTTGCCAGTCTTTTCTGGGCCCCTTTGCCGCTATATCTGAAAAAGAGTCTTTTCTGGCTTTTTTAACTTACATCGGTAGTGCTTTAGTGTATGTTTTTCTAGTTCTGTAGAAACTTAAGTGGAAAAAGAAGCCTAAAGTATTTAATGGACTTAAAGTGTCCGATAGGTAGAAACGTTCTGATTGTGGTGATAGGTTTTTGTCTCTTCCTTACACAGGAGATTTCTCAAGAGCGTGGGATGTTCTTCTTGATCACATACAGTCAGCGGCACTCAGCAGAAACAACGAAGTATCTCTGGCGGCACTGAAAAGCTTCCAAGAGATTCTCCAGATCGTGCCTCCCGCCAGAGACTCAGACAAGCCGGAGACCCCGCCGGCAGCGGGTGTGCCTGTGCCGGTCCTCCTGGGGCCTGTGGCGGGGCCAGGCCCGGGCAGGCCGTTTGCGAGAACAGATTCCGCTGGGGAAAGGCTCGGGGGGTGCGCTGGCTCGGAGGCGCCCGCCGCCACCGGAGAGCTGGACGACCTGCACCTCTGGTGGGCCGCGTGGCGCGCGTGGCGCGGGGTTGGGTCTGAGAGCACCAGGCCGCCCGCCGCTTTCGACGAGCTCACCTTCGTGCCCAGCCAGCCCTTCCTGACAGCTCTGATTCAGATCTTCCCGGCTCTTTACCAGCACATAAAAGCTGGTTTCAGCATGGACGACTTGCACGGGCTGGGGGTCATCTTGCACAGCGCCGTTTCAGTGCCCATCAGCTCAGACGCGTCCCCGTTCATCCTCCCGTCCTACACGGAGGCGGTGCTCACCAGCTTGCAGGAGGCCGTGCTCACGGCCTTAGACGTGCTTCAGAAGGTAATGAGCAGCAGGGCGGCGTCCAAGTGTTGGTGGGCTTCCCTGGCCGTCTCTCAGTTCGCAGTTTGGGGTGGGAGATCACCAGGACTGTTTGACGCACACACTGGCTGAAGTCGGAGTGGCAGCTGTCCGGTTACTTAAGAACACGCAGTTTTCTCATGGGCTCAGAAAATGACGCAGCGGGGCTTCGGTAGTCTGAGCAGCTGCCTGCAGCCTCACGAGAGGGCTGCGTGAGAGCCAGGGCCTCGGGTCAGCGTTCTGTGACGAGGCGGCGAGTGGGCGCTGCGGCTGTGTGTGCTTCCCTTCGCAGCTGTCGAAGCCCGTGCTTACAGGCAGAAACAAGAAATGGAGCAACAGCTTTTTCTCACGGAAACCTAAAAAAAAAACATGTTACCTGTGTGTTTTGTTACTGCGCGAAGTGACTACGAGAGGCCCCAGATGATGGCGCAGAGCTCAGCCCGGCTCAGTCCAGGCGCGCCCAGCTCGCAGCCAGACTCTCGGTGCTCCGGGGAGTAGGTGGCGCGGCCCCGCAGCTGCGCGGGGAGCTGCCGCTGAGGCCGCCAG